AAAAAAAAAAAAAAGATCGAGAAGGGTTGACATGTCGTGGGGTTGTTAACCAATGTCATAAAACAATGTGTGTACTACTGTTGAATGAGAAACTATTTGTTCTGTAAACCTTCACCTGAAGGACATTAAAATAAATAAATAAAAATAAATCCTGCCTGATGAGCCAATTTAGGCAGGGAAATCATGATCAAGAATATGCCCCTTTTAGTAAGAACTGACCTGAATTTCATTTCAGACACTGCCACTTACTAGATATTTGTCCATGGGCAAGCTATTTAATTTCTTCAAGACTATAACTTTTGTAAAATGCCTCAAATACTGCCTACCTCACAGCGTTGTTCTGTGAAAACATGCGGTATATAAAGTACTTAGCACAGTGCCCAGCCCTTCTGAAATAGCTCAATAAATGGTAAATATACATACAGGCTGAGGGGTGACTGAGTGACTGAGGCCTGATGAGCTCAACCTGAGTGTAGCGTGTCAGAGTGTCTGTGCGTGCGCGTGAAACGCGCGTGTCTGAGTGTGCGTGGTACCGAGGGGTGACAGATGCGGCCAACGAGTCTGGCTGAGGCTGGATTGTAAAAAACAAAAACAAAAAAGAAAGAAAGAAAGAAAACAAAGGGAGGCCCTGCGAGCGGCAGACTGGAGGGGGTGGAACCCGGGCATTTAGACTCAAGCTAACTACCTCGGACATCCTTGAGGACGGTGACTTTAGATTTTTCACAAACTCGTGGGTGAAGCTGACGCTGCTCGTCTGAGAACCACACTTTTGCTTAGCGACGATTCACACGATTTTACCTGTTAATGCACCAGGACACACAGGTCCCCCCACCTATTCGGCGGTCCAGAAAGCAGCTGCGGCCGGCGGCGGCGGCGGCGGCGGCGGCGGCGGCGGCACCTCCCGGGCAAGTCCCGAGGCTCTGGGAGGCGGAGGCGGAGAGACCAAGGGGGCGCAGGAGAGCAGGAGCAGCACCCTTAGACCCCGAGGACAGGGTCAACTGCTAATGGATCAGGCCGACTGACAACACAGGGAAAAACCTACTTATACAGAAGCAGGACTGAGACCAAACGCGGCGGCCGGCTGCCGACTGAAGACACACACTTCCGCTTCCGGTTTCCAGGATACTTGGTGTTTCAGGGGAAGGGTTCCGTGCGACAACACAGAGGGCTCTAACTCGACACCGTGGGGTTCAGTGCCTGCCTTTTGTATTTGAGATCTGGCCATGGCTGTCCTTATTTCTTCTATAGAGAAAAGTCTAGGTCTTATTAAATACGTTGTCAAACCACAAAATGATAGTCTTTACTCTGTATGGAATACAGAAGAGAGTTTTATTCACGAATTAACAGTTCGAACTGGGAAACAGAGAGTCTCAGAAATGATACTAAGTGTTCCCCATTGCTAGGGAGGGCACAAAGCTTATACACAGTAGCATCAGGAACCTGACAGAGAAAAGTTCTGATTGGTTGACATTTGGAAAGGTACACCTGGTTCCTGGCAAAACAGCAAACACTTTCAAATAGTTTACTTCTCTTTTCCGATTGGCTGACATTTAACCGTTTCACGAGGACGTTGAGTACAAGTGGTTTTTACAGAGCAGTTCCTGGAATTTTTAACCAGCTACTTTCCGAAGATAGTTAAACAATGAGCAGTAAACAGCAAGGAGTCTACAAAAGAAAATAGAGTCTGGCCTACACCTTTGTCTGTGACTCACAGTCATGCCACATGGCCTTTATTTTGGAAAAATGCTCTCCCATGGGGTGTATGAACTGAAAAGTGGATTTCAGTAATCAAAGATACTTGGAGAGTCGAGAAAGTTGGTATTTGCATATTTGGCCATTTGCAAAAAAATTTACCAGGTTCTTTAGAGAAATAATTTCTGTGCGCCTCATAGATATTTCCCCATTCTTAGAATTATTGAAATTTCTACTTTGGCTTCTGTTTTATGGTTTGTCATCTCTTGCATATCAGGTATCTTTCCCTAGGAGCAGGGTACAGACTGTGCAAACCCTGTCTGATCTCTCCAAGTGCTGAGGACCCTAGATAGAGGAGTTTTCCAGGGGGAGAGGCAGGAAGATACCAGTCGTTCTGAGGGCCAGTAGGTAAAAGATGAAGTCCCTTTGAAAATAACAATTATAAACAGTTTTTACTTTTTTCTCATGTATGTTGATGTTGTTAGGCACTGTCGAGATGGTTCTGACTCATAGTGACCCTACGTACGACATAACGAAAGACTACCAAGCGCTGCACCATCCTCACAATCGTTACAGTTAAGCCCATTGTTGCAGCCATTGTGTCAATCCATCTTGTTGAGGGTCTTCCTCTTTTTCGCTGACCCTGTACGTTACCAAGCGTGATGTTCTCCAGGGACACATCCCTCCTGACAATATGTACAGAGTATGTGAGATGTAGTCTCGCCATCCTTGCTTCTAAGAATCATTCTGGTCATACTTCCAAGACTGATTTGCTCGTTTTTTTAGCAGTCCATGGTATATTCAGTATTCTTCTTCAACAGCATAATTCAGAGGCATAAATTCTTCAGTCTTCCTTATTCATCATCCAGCTTTCACATGCATATGAGGTGATCGAAAACACCATGGCTTGGGTCAAGTGCACCTTAGTCTTCAAGGTGACGTCTTTGCTTCTCAATGCTTTAAAGAAGTCTTTTGCAGCAGATTTGCCCAATGCAATGCAACTTTTCATTTTCTGACTGCTGCTTCCATGGGTGGTGATTGTGGATCCAAGTAAAATGAAATCCTTGACAACTTCAATCTTTTCCCCTTTTATCATGATGTTGCTCATTGGTCCAGTTGTAAGGATTTTTGTTTTCTTTATGTTGAGGTGTAATCCATACTGAAAGCTGTGGTCTTTGATCTTCACTAGTAAGTGCTTCAAGTCCTCTTCACTTTCAGCAAGCAAGGTTGTGTCATCTGCGTATCACAGGTTGTTAATGAGTCTTCGTCCAATCCTGTTGCCACGTTCTTCTTCATATAGTCCAGCTTCTCGGATTATTTGCTCAGCGTACAGACTGAATAGGTATGGTGAAAGCATACAACTGTGATGCATGCCTTTCCTGACATTAAAACATGCAGTATCCCCTTGTTCTGTTTGAACGACTGCCTCTTGATCTATGTACAGATTCCTCATGAGCACGATTAAGTGTTCTGGAATTCCCATTCTTCGCAATGTTATCCATAATTTGTTATGATCCAGAGACTAACGCCTTTGCATAATCAATAAAACACAGGTAAACATCTTTCTGGTATTCTCTGCTTTCAGCCAGGATCCATCTGACATCAGCAACAATATCCCTGATTCCACATCCTCTTCTCAATCTGGCTTGAATTTCTGGCAGTTCCCTGTCAACATAGTGCTGCAGCCACTTTCGAATGATCTTCAGCAAAATTTTACTTGCATGCGATATTAATGATATTGTTCCATAATTTCTGCATTCAGTGGGATCACCTTTCTTAGGAATAGGCATAAATATGGATGTCTTCCAGTCAGTTGGCCAGGTAGCTGTGTTCCTTGGCATAGACGATTGAGTACCTCCAGCACTGCATCTGTTTGTTGAAATATCTCAATTGATATTCCGTCAATTCCTGGAGCCATGTTTTTGGCCAATGCCTTCAGTGCAGCTTGGACTTCTTTCTTCAGTACCGTGGGTTCCTGATCATATGCTATCTCTCTCCTGAAATGGTTGAACATCGACCAATTCTTTTTGGTATAGTAATACTGTGTATTCCTTCCATCTTCTTCTGATGCTTCCTGCATCGTTTAATATTTTCCCTCATACAATCCTTCAGTATCACAACTTGAGGCTTGAATTTTTTTTTTCCAGTTCTTTCAGCTTGAGAAATGCTGAGCGTGTTCTTCCCTTTTGGTTTTCCATCTCCAGGTCTTTGCACATGTCATTATAATACTTAGCTTTGTCTTCTCAAGCCGCCCTTTGAAATCTGTTCAACTCTTTTACTTCATGGTTTCTTCCTTTTGCTTTAGCTACTTGACATTCAAGAGCACGTTTCAGTTTCTTCTGACATCCATTTTGGTCTTTTCCTTCTTTCCTGTCTTTTTAATGATCTCCTACTTTCTTCACGTATGATGTCCTTGATATCACTCCACTACCCGTCTGGTCTTCTGCCATTAGTGTTCAACGCGTCAAGTCTCTAAATTCAGGTGGGATATACTCAAGGTCATACTTTGGCTCTTGTCAACTTGTTCTAATTTTCTTCAGTTTCAGCTTGAATTTGCATATGAGCAACTGATGGTCTGATCCACAGTTGGCCCCTGGCCTTGTTCTGACTGATGATAATGTGCTTTTCCATCACCTCTTATCACAGATGTAATCAATTTGATTCCTGGGTACTTCATCTGGCGAGGTCCACGTGTACAGTCAACGTTCACGTTGGTTAAAAAAAAAACAAAAAAACATATTTCCAATGAAATCATTTCATCGTTTCTATCACCAATGCCGTATTTTCTGACTACCAATCCTTCTTGTTTCCAACTTTCCCATTCCAATCACCAGTAATTATCAGTGCATCCTGATTGCATTTTCAATCATTTCAGACTGCAGAAGTTGGTAAAAATCTTCAATTTCTTCATCTTTGGCCTTAGTGGTTGGTGCGTAAATTTGAATAATAGTCATATTAACTGGTCTTCATTGTAGGCGTATGGATATTCTTTCCCTGACGGCATTGTACTTCAGGATAGATCTTGAAACGTTCCTTTTGATGATGAATGCAACCACGCCATTCCTTTTCAAGCTGTCGTTTCTGGCATAGTAGACCATATGATTGTCCGATACAAAATGTCCAGTACCAGTCCATTTCAGCTCACTAATGCCTAGGATATCGATGTTTACATGTTCCATTTCATTTTTGACCATTTGCAGTTTTCCTAGATTCCTACTTCGTACATTACACGTACTGATAATGGATGTTTGCAGCCGTTTCTTCTCATTTTGAGTCGTGCCACATCAGCAAATGAAGGTCCCGAAAGCTTGACTTCACATTAAGCTCAACTCTGTTTTGAAGAGGCAGCTCTTCCGTAGTCATATTTTGAGTGCCTTCCAACATGGGGGCTCATCTTCTGGCACTATATCCGACAATGTTCTGCTGCTATTCATAAGGTTTACACTGGCTAATTCTTTTCAGAAGCAGACCACCAGGTCCTTCTTCCTAGTCTGTTTTAGTTTGGGAGCTCAGCTGAAACTGGTCTGCCATGGGTGACCCTGCTGGTATTTGAATACTGGTGGCATAGTTTCCAGCATCACAGCAACATGCAAGCCCCCACACTACAACAAAACTGACAGGCATATAATAAAGTGCATAACATGTTCTAATCTTAAATGTACAACTCGATGAATTTTTACATATGAATATACACTCATCTAATCTCTGAAATCAAGTTAGGGAAATTTTTCAGCATGCAAGAAGATTCCCTCCTAACATTTACTCAGTTAATATTCACCCTAGGAGTATCCAATGTTGTTACTGTTCTTGCCAGAAATGAGATTTGCCAATTCTTGGACTTCATGTAATCAGAATGAGACTGTATGAAGCACCTTGTGTCTCAGTTCATCTAGTCAACATATTGTCTGTGAGATTTTAGCTATGCTGTTGCAAATAGCAGTAGTTTATTTTGTCTCTATATTTTATTCCAAAGGATGACTATACCGCAAAGATTTTGAAGATTAATTTTTAAAAATACTTGTGGGCCATGAAATGCATGTCTTAATTTGGAGCCAAAGACAGGTCTTGCTGTCATACATAATGTGTCAAAAGTGGCAGGAGACAGCGAGACTTAGAATAGACTAAAAAATAGAATTTTGTACTTACATATGACA